AAGTTCCTTGGAAGCTGGTTAGCCAGTATTATACATCAGAGAAGCATATTTCTTAAACTGCCTTCCTTGAAATTTTAATAGGCATTCCATGAAGTGAGTTTCTCTGGTTAAGTAAATTTGAGAAATGCTGCATTTTTATTCTTGCATTAGCAGTTCATGGTTATGTTAGGGCCAAACCCAGAAGTCTTCCCGTAGGACCTTCGTCTCTGTCTCTCTGCCTTTCTCCCCCTCGACTTCCTCTCCCCTTTTTCCTTATTTAAATCCAAGTTTATTTTTACAATGCTTTTTTTTGGGGGGGGTTGTTTTGCTTGTTTACACATTGAGGGTCCCAGCTCACATAGCTAAGGTTATAGGACACACGTTTAGAAACAGCTTTGAAATCGATCCAGCTGAGCCAAGTTGCTTACCCTCAAACACCTGCAAAAAAAAGTCTTAAGTCTGATATTACTGTAGATGGAGTAGTTTGAACAAAAATCACGTTTATGACATAAACTCAGAAATGTTTCCTGTTCTGCACTCAGAATTTCAGTCTGATTTTGTTCTGTTGTTTCCCTACAGTGGATGTAGAGGTCACCTTGCACCTGTCCTCTGCTCTGTTAACCATCGGGTCCACTCTTCAGTCTAAAGCAACCCAGGGCTGCCCTTAGCTCTATGTGGCAGTCTGTTCTTGTTGTTTCTCAGGACAGTGACTTGGGGGGGGGTGGTCCTTCAAGAGAACTCTTCTGTGGAATGTTAAGTCCAGGTGAGAAACTGGACACTTATGAATTGGAGGCTACTTGGAGGTATTTCAGCTCTTGAATCACTCAGCAGGTGGATGAACCTCGGCCAGGGCCAGGTTGGATGGGGTAAGCTGGGAGGGAGGGACCCTGGGGAAAGAGGGGCAGTGAGATTCACTGTGAGGTAACTCACTGTTTGGGGCATGTTCTCGAGGCCAGAGAACTTCAGAGGGCCTCATGGTGCCACCGGTAAGGATGTGACTGAGCTCGCAGGCCTGCGGCACAGACCATCCACTTCACATTCCTGTGATGATCTCTGAGGCCCAACAGTGGAGGTTATCTGCAGGGTCCACTGCTGGGGGAGGAGCAGCAGAAATTTCTCACCATCCTCGTTGAGACAGAGGGGGATTACAGGGCCCAGCAGAAAAGTCTGGCCAAGCCAGCTTCCCCTGACACTGTCCAGATGCCTGCGGATGAGGCACAGCACCTCCTTGGTCTGGGGACCTGTGACAGCCCCACCTGAGGCCATGACATGACCTTGGTTGGTTATCTGAACAAAGCCTCTTCTCTCAAGTTGTTGTCAGCCACCTTTCCTCTGGGGGCAGCTGCTCCAGCCTACTAAGCCAGCCTTCCTTCCTGTGACCTCTGGTGGCTGTCACTGGTTAACACTTGCTCCAGGGATGGGCTTTGAGTTGCTGGAATGATAGGAAATAAATAAGCAGGAAGTGTCTTTACTGTCTCGTGGCTGACCACGTCTCTGTAGCCACCTTTCACCTCCACAGCTTCCTTGCAGCCTTCGTCTCCTCCCAGAGATCAGCTACCACCAACACGGGGTTTGGGTGCCAGACTATAATTGTGACTATCAGCTGTCACTTGGGCAGGAGTTAGCCTCTGGGCCTCCCTGGGCTAAGCCATTTCCAGGTGTCAGGACATCCACCCTAACTACATCACAATATTGTCGCAAGGATTCAGTGATATGAAGGCCATATGTGAATTGCCATTGTCATTGCCTCAGAGCCATGAGTGTGATTCTGTGGCCGTGGAATGTTTGATTTCATGTGTTCCAGGGAAGGCATTTGAACTCTTTCTTCTGATTCCTTGTGGGAGGTTCTGTCCCAATCCATAAGCATTTGCTAAGCGGCTAGTACATGTGTTTCCTCGTGGACGTAACTGGTTTTATCAGCTCATGTCAACTGCCATGTGCCATGTACCACAGCTCCTGCTGGGATCCATCAGCGACCAGGACCAGCTAGGCCCTCCTCTAAGGGGGTCTTCATTCAAATGCTTGGGGGGTTCACTGATAGTTGAAGCGTTTCATATCCTCAGGTCATTTTTGCAGTTTGTAACAGATGCTTCAATAATCAAGTCAGCTTGTGAAAAGGCTTTCACAGGAGGTAAACCAAGTTCTTCGAGGCGGAGGGTTGGGGCTGCTGCCTGGTGTGTGAGAGGCAGCAGCTAGAGGCAGTGGATTTCCACTGTGCCTTCTAGTGCTAGACGAGTGGCCGATGGGAGATTACCTGGATACTTGAGGTCAAAAACTGGAGGATGACAACAAAGCAACTTGGTGTCTATTTCTGGTCCTGGGAAGAGCTGCAGGATACTCATGAAACTGTGTGTCCTCACCCTGGAGTCACATTATCCTTTGAGATAATGGTTAAATGGTAGCTGGACTCATTGGATGCTGTCTGTTCTCAATACTAATTTTATAAGTGCTAACTCCGTCTTTCTAACAACTATCTAAGGGCAGGTATTTCTGTCATCATATCTGCTTTACAGATGAGGAAACTGAGGTATAAAAACAGTGAGTTGCCAGTCCAGAATTACTTGGCACCTAAGTAGTGGATTCAGACTCCAGCACAAGGGCTCCAAAAGTTGTGTGCTCACCTCTGTGCTGGACTACTTCTCAAGCCATCAATTTAAAAGTCAGTTGTATGCTAAGTGTTCAGGGGTAAAATGACCCCAGGTCTGGGATTTTCTTAAAAAATGCAACAAGTGGAAGGAAGGAAGGACCACAGATGTTAAAATCTTGATAAATATTTATTGTAGGTTATTTAAAAATGCCTATGGAGTCGTTATTCGCAGTTCCTAACTTCTATAATAAAAAATAGAAACGATTTCTTGTGAATTTGGAGATTTTGAAATATTTGTTATTGTTGGTATCAAGAGTTTCAAAATCATCTGGATCATTGCATATGCTTTTTACTAAGTTAATCAGTGCAATTGTGGCTGTGAAGTGGAATCCCTCTTTTGTATGTTAAAAACTACTTTCCTCCAGGTGCCAGGGAGCACACCCGTAATCCCAGTGGCTTGGGAGGCTGAGGCAGGAGGACCACAGTTCAAAACCAGCCTCAGCAGCTTGACAAGGCCCTAAGCAACTTAGTGAATTGACCATGGCACATGCCTGTAATCCCAGTGGCTCAGAAGGCTGAGGCAGGAGGATCGTGAGTTCAAAGTCAGCCCTAGCAAAAGTGAGGCGCTAAGCAACTCAGTGAGACCCTGTCTCTAAATAAAATATAAAATAGGGCTGGGGATGTGGCTCAGTGGTCAAGTGCCTCTGAGTTTAATCCTTGGTACCTCTCCCCACCCCACCCCCCAAAAAAAAGAGAGAGACGGGGGGTGGGGGGGCTGGAGATATGACTCAGTGGTGAAGTGCCCCCTGGGTTCAATCCCTAGTGCCCTAAACAAACAAAACTACTTTCCATCTAGTCAACAAATGTGATGGCCGTGTGCCTTATTTTTTTTATATTGGTAAGGGTTCCCCTGCTTGCGCAATGTGTTCAGTGGAATAGTATAACATTTGAGTTGGAAGAGCTCACAAAGACAGCTCCTTCCCAGACTCATTTGGCAGCTGTGGAAGTGGAAGCTCAGAATTTAAGTGATTGGCTGGAGATTAAAGTGGAGCATTAAAAGCATGATCTATTGCCAATCAGTAACCAGTTAATGAGGGCGCAGGAATTAAAATCTGGAGCTTCCAAGCTCTAGGCCTTTCCAGGTCCATCGGAAGGAGCCTGTGCTGGTAAGGGGCCACAGCCACCCGCATGGAGACTCAGTCTTAGCCTACACTTGGGACTCCTGCTGTGTCAGGCAGGTGCCAAGTAAGGAGTCTGGGATGTGAGATGAAGGCAGGGAGTTCCCCCAAGCTTGGGACCAGAAGGGGTCACGTGGGACTTCAACTTCCCCTGGCTCTACTCAGAGGACTAAATGTGGCTTCTTCTCGCACCCTTTAAGAGCCCCACGTGGATCAGCTGGTGCCCCCAGTGCCACCTCCTTTGGGGCTTGAAAGGACCCATTTATTCTGTTTTCTCCACATTCCTTGTTGCAGAGCCCAGCTGTGTCACCCTCAAAGGGCCTGTGTAAAAAAAAACATTGCCATTGCACCTTCTCAGAGGCGCACCTGGGTCTCAGTGGCACTAAAGTCTACTCTTTGATGGGCCAGAAGCCAGGGCCCCAGGCTTTTCCCAAGAGAAGAATGCAAATGGTCTTAGCAAAAGTGTCCAGAGTCTCCACACCACTGGCCTCATTTCCTTATCTGAGAACTCTTGGAGAGCATCTCAGAGCTAAAACCTCACCACTCCACGTCTGGTGGATACCCCCCGCCCCTCACGTCCCACCCCCATACACACTGCCTTCGCTGGCATAAATCATCCCTTAAGGTTTGGAGGATCTCAAACTCAAATGCTTTCGGGACCCCAGCAGGTAAGATGAATGCATGAAGCTGACCCATGTAAGACTGGAGTGACCTGGGAGGAATGGTCACGGTCTCGTTCAAAGGGTTTGCCACACTGTGATGCCCATGTAGAAAACCCCGGGCAGAGCAGCCGGCTCTTGGCCACCTCTGACATAGAGGACACCAGGAAGGCCAGGTCCCACCCCTGGCCACCCCTGTGACCTCTGCACAGCCTTAATACTGCAGAACCTCAGGTTTTCTCATAAGAATTGGGCCTCAAAGGCTTCAAGGTGCCACCTCCTCCAAGTCTCATCCTCTGACCTGTGATAGAATACACGTCTCCATAGCAACCAGGGCCAGGATGGTCTGACTAACATATTTGCAAAATGCCCGCCAGGCCCATGTGATCTAACTAACCTTTTAAAACTAGTGTCCTTGTTTTGTTTTGTCCCCTGTAACTAAATGGAAGTGTTTTGTCCCTTGTAACTAAATGGCCCACACTTAACCTTCATTCTGGGGTTAGAAGTTGCCTTTTCTTTTTGCCGGTTTTCTCTTCTTTCTGAAAGCAGCCATGAGCAGATGAGCTTAGAAAGGGTGTTCTCTTCGTGTTGTTTCAGGGAAAATAGAGAAAGTCAAACCTCCTCCATCCCCCACAACCGAAGGCCCCAGCTTGCAGCCTGACTTAGCCCCCGAAGAGGCTGCCGGAACCCAGCGGCCCAAGAACCTGATGCAGACCCTCATGGAAGACTATGAGACACACAAATCTAAAAGGCGCGAGAGAATGGATGATAGTAGTGTAAGTTTTTCCTCCTTTCCTTTCACTTTCCGAGGGCGGCCGTCCGTGTGGTGTGTGGTGTACCAGTTCAGGTGTGGATGTGTATACAGTTGTCTCTGAATGGCATCGCGGTTCCAAAACCAATTTTCAAATGTGTGGTTTAACATGAGTGGATTGGGTTTGGGTTTCTGCCTTGGTTCCCAAACAGTGGCCTTTTCTGGCCAAGGATAGCTGGAGCCCACTGGCAAGGGTGGTGCACAAGATGTTTGGTGTGTGGAAAGACAACACGCATGGGCGATGCTGCGGGGAGGGGGCAGGAGTGAGCGCCAGGGAGCCACTTGACCTACTTTGTGCACATTCTGTGTTTTTAGAGAACTATGAAATGCTGCTTCTTCAAAATCTACATTGCGAGCAATCACTATAAATATTCCACAGTGCTCAAAAAGACAAGGGTGAGCTGGGAACGGTGACACACTCCTGTTATCCCAGTAAGTTTGGAGGCTGGGGTAGGATGATTTTGTCCCAGCAACTCAGCAAAGCCCTGAGCAACTTAGTGAAACGCCATCTCAAAATAAAAAGGACAGCAGTCGTTGCTCAGTGGTAAAGCACAAAGCACCCCTCAATTCAATAACCCGGTTGCCCCCCACACCCCCTCCCCCCCCCAAAAAAAAAGGGAAGACATGTGTTTTGGGTTGTTTCCAAGCCTCTTTTGCAGTTTGGCAAGAAAGAGCCATTTTAAATGACAGTTGAAAACCATGCAAGTACCCTATTCCTGACCCCAGAACTTTGCATGTGGCTTTCACATGAACTATGAGGGAAGTCATCCACTCTGGTTTCTTTGTCCTGCAAGAGACTTTAGAGTTGTTCCATAGGGTCCCAAGGAGCCTGGGATCAGCCTCAAGGTTTCACACCATCCCCAAGGAGTCTCGGGCATCAGTCTCTTTGCATCCCTGGAAGTAATCAATCCCTGGCCCAGATGTCCCACCTAGCTGGGATTGCTAAACTGCCTAGTTGACCCCAGGAGGTCCTGGTTTAT